AGAACTCACTCACCTATGTCTTCTATTGATCAACCAGATTGAGGATATCAGAGCTGCAGGAGTGGTTATGCAGTCTATATCTATCAGCATATTTCCTGTGTGAGAGGCTGAATGTGTACAGATGGGATGTGATCCCTTCCTTTTCCTATCCAGCCTCACAAACAGACACTGGAGGACAGCACTGACTTTTACACCCTCTAAAACTAAACTAAAACTATTAATCTCTCCCTGCCAACCAATTTATACTCACAAAGACACATTATAAGTGCTGAAAACAGGTGCTCACTAGTGGTCAAAAACATGGAGGCAGGTACCTACTCATCCTAATGGGAAATCCAGCCCTGCTGGTCCCATGAGAAGCACATTGCATACAATTTTTGTGCAGTTATTCAACAGAATTAGATATGGGTAATGTTAGTGATACTGTGTTTGCTGAAGTTAAAGAGACACCATAGTCACCAGAACAACTAAAACATAATGTAGTTGCTATGGGTCTACAGACTGTCATGGCATGCGTTTTAATTTAAACACTGCCTTTTCAGAGAAAACCCCTCAAAGGTTAAATGTATTTAATTAGTTATTTAAATATTTTACAATTATTTATTTAGCTAGGGTAGGTGGAGGTTAGTGGAAAATTGGGGGATTTACTGTTAGGCTATTTAGTGATTATCAGAATAAGGTTTCAAAAAGTTTTTTTAAAAAGTAAAAAAAAAACATTTTAAGAAGTTGAAAAAAGGTTAAACATTTTTAAAAAGTTTTTTTTTTTTTTTTTAAAGGAAAAAAAAGTGCTTGTTACCACTACACTTGGTACAAGCTAGGTAAAAGTGATCCTAAGCTAAGGTTCAAAATATGCCTTTTAAAACACCCCATGTCTTTTTTAAGAAATGGCATACCTTTGTGGGGTAGTTGGAATAAGCCATCTGCTAAGCTACTCCAAAATTGGGCATGGACCCAGAGTAAAAAATCAGTTTTAAAAAAACTGAATTGGCTGTGTCTCTAATGTGCCCCATCAAAGTCCATATATACCTGGCAAAGGTACATACAGGGGGATTGCTGTACTCAGACAACATAGTTGAGCAACATATGAAGTATTATACTGCCGTGGCAGTAAAAACTCATTGTGTGTATCAAAAATGCAGAAAAAATGTTTATTACCACTACACATGATGCAAACTAGAAAAAAAATGATCCAATGCTATGGTTCAAAATATGCCTTTTGAAATACCCTGGGGTTTCTTCTTTCAGAAATGGCAGGCCTTTGTTGGGTAGCTGGAATAAGCAACCTGCTAAAATACTTCAAAATGAAACATTAACCCAGAATAAAAAAATCAAAGTTTGAAAAAAATGGAATGGCTGTGTCTCAAAAGTGCCCCTTCAATGTCCATATATATATATCTGGTAAAGGTACATTTGGGGTTATTGCTGTACTCAGACAACATAGCTGAGCACCATATGAAGTATTATAGTGCTGTAGCACACATAAGGTTTGCAAAATATACAGTAAAAAATTGTGTTTTCTTTAAGAAATGGTTTGGCTTTATGGGGTAGTTTGAATAAGCAACCTGCTAAAATGCTCCAAAATGGAACATGGACCCATCATTTAAAAACATGAATTTGGGGGGCAGAGTTTCGCAGCAGAGCTGAATGGTCGCACTCCAGCAGAGCTACATGCACATTCAGCTATCTAAATCCTTATTTTGGGCACTGCCTCTCAATGGAGGCAGCAAAAGCCACAGAGACATGATGGGTTGGAAGACTAAAAAACAAAAGCCTGATAAGCCCCACATGGGCCGTAATATCAGCGACCTCCTGCGGCAGGCACAGGGCTTTACTATGGCCCAAGATGTCCGACTATCCGGAGACTTACTCTGAACTCTCTGATGATCTGTCTATGGGGGAGGAAGATATGGACTTACCTGCCAGACCAACACCTGTACTAAGGCCGCTGGTCCCAGAAACTTCACCCATGACAACAGCTGTATTAAAAGCACTCCTGGCCGATCTGCAAACTAACATACTGACAGATATGGCATCCCTGAGATCTGACCTAAAGGGCCTGACAGGCAGGCTGGTAACAGTGGAAATTACCTCTGATGAACACACCCTGGGCCTGGCCTCCATGCAGGAAGAGATCCCCAGCACAGAAGGCAACATGAGGTGCAGGTGCATCATCCACAACCCACCTTTGGGACCTGGCTAAAATGACAACCTTTGTCCCAACACAGCCCATGCAGGGAGCATTTGTGCCAGTCACCACCTGAATATGTTATGGCAACTTTGCTTTACCTTACCTGGCTTAATCTTACTATATAGGGTTACGTTTTATTTTAGTTATGCTTCACTAAGCCCCAGTTTGATTACATACATACACACCATTCACCATTCTCACATGGATAGGTTATTAAACCAGATAGAAGCACCCCCCCATTCCCCCACCTGTCATTGAAGTACATATATGGTATAGCGATTCTTTCACTACTTAGGCATCAAACTCCAAGTAGCAGAGTTACATTCAGCATTTACCCCTTTTTGTAATTTTTTACATTTTTTTTGTTTGATAAAGTTAGCGGAAGCAGACGCACAGGACAGCCACCTCACAAATTCAGACCAAGATGTATCTAGTTAAACTCGACCACCACATAAAACTCATAAAACTCAATTCACTGTAGATCATGTGATTTTATTGTTGTACCTAGTCAGGGCCGGTGCAAGGATTTTTGCCGCGCTAGGCAAAAGTAAAGTTTGCCGCCCCCACCCCCCCCGGTGACATCACAATGCCCCACCCATATGACCTGCCATGTTAACTAACGCTAGTGCTGCAGTGCCGCTGTGTTTACATTAAAAGGCCTGCAGGGACAGGCTATGGACACCAGAACCACTACATTAAGCTGCAGTGGTTCTGGGGACTATAGTGTCAATTTAATGTGAGGTAAATTAGAGATTAGTGCCACGAATAATATACTAGATTGCCTACTTACAACCAGATGAGGATGATGATGGGCTCTGGCTGCAGTCTGGCTCCACTGGTCTGGTGTATAACAGGATCTCTGGAGGCTGTTTGTAACTGTGGTCACAAAAATCAATGTTCTGGGAGAACGAGAAGCAGCTCCATTTTTTGGGGGCCCTTTACACAGCTCAAGGTCTGGGTCCCAGGGTCCACCTTCATGTTCCACCAATGAGTTTGTTCACAGGGGGTGGAGTGTGTAGGGGATGTCCTGATTTGTGTGTAAGGAATGCATTGTGTGAATCTGTGTTTCTATGTGTAAGGGCTGCAAGGTGTGTTTCTGTGTATGTAAGGGATGAAGTGTGTGAGTCTGTAAGGGGTGCTTTGAGTGTGTTTAAGGGGTGCATTGAGTGTGTGTAAGGAATGCATTGTGTGTTTCTGTGTGTGTAAGGGATGCATTGTGTGTAAGGGTTGCATTGCGTGTGTGTGTAATGCATTGTGTGTTTTTCTGTGTGCAAGGGTTCATTGTCTTTGTGTGTAAGGGGTGCATTGTGTGTGATTGTGTGTGTGATGGATGTCAATCTCTTCCCCCCTCCCTTGTCACTCTCTTCTCCCCCCCTCCCTTGTTGCTCTCATTCCCCCTCCCTCCCCTGTCACTCCCCCCTCCCTGTCAATTTCTCTCTCCCCGTCAATTCCCCTCCCTGTCAATGTCTCCCCCCTCCCTGTTAGTTCCCCCCCTGTTAGTTTCTTCCCCCCACCTCCCTGTTAGTTTCTTTCCCCCCACCTCCCTGTTAGTTTCTTTCTCCCCCCTCCCGTCAGTTTATTTCTTCCCCCCT